TTTAACCAATCCATCACTTAATGTTTATGCTGCTTTTAGCAACTGGAGTGGCAGACTGTGGGAGATCAAAATGTACTAGTATGTACTGTCAATTCAGTGGGAAAACATTGTTGATATGTTTTTCCTAGAATCTTATACTCCAATTATTGAATCAGACATGTACTAGTAAAGAAAAAATACTGTATACTGTATATAGTTGATGTAGCCCTGGGTCTGCATTGCTCCTGCCCACTGCCTCATGGACCGGGCTGTAATTTCTAATGCTGCTGCCACCTTCACAGCTTCTCTTCCCTCCCCAGCTGCTAGTGATCAGAGGAGCAGCCATGTGGGGTCTGAGAGGTGACCATCAGAGTGGGCTGCTGACCTGGAGAGCTGCCTGTTGTGAGTTTTTGCCAGAATGTTGGAGAAAGACTGGACGACCATATCTCTGTGAAGGATACAGCTGTTGGAGAGCGAGCTGTACTGGAGCATTACTGGAAGTATTTCTGGTCCTGTGAGAGATTGCCATTACTAGGTCCTAAGTTACTGCCAGGAGTTTCTGACACCAAAGCAGGAGGAGGCTTAATTACATACAGAAAAGTGGTGAGAGACCATTGGCCACAACTTCATTACACATTTCAAAGACTGTATGGTTCTGAGAGGCCACCTTCCAGTATATTAATAGGTGAACCAGTTTATTGCAATCGAGATTATATGCGGCATTTTAGTTAACTCTATCCTTCTGGTTGGGATTCTATTGCTCGTTTTAGCTTAGGGCCAGGGGCAGACTGACCATTAGAGCGCTCGGGCACTGCCCGAGGGCCCATGGTCAGTAGGAGGCCCCATGAAATGCCCCTGGTACCTTTTATAGACTTTTTTGGGTGTGCTTTGAGTGTGGTCAAGGACACAGGGGCCCCATGATCCCCTATTGCCTGGGGGCCCCATGAGTTGTCAGTCCTCCCCTGCTTATGGCTCAATATCCAGCATAAGGCTACAGCCAGGTTAGTCATCTGACAGCCACTTCTGCTAATTAGAGGTCCAGATGAATGTCAGATTAGAAACTATTAGGGACTAAAGAGCAGAATAGATAGGCTGACACTGAAATCCAGTGCCACATTAAAGTTTCTGCTTGTTGGACAATGGCTGGAGGGTCTCCCCATCAACATGATCTGGTCTTCAGGTCTCTGACACAAAGACAGATGCTGCATTGTGATCATCCTCAGGGACCCCTGAAAATGGACTTTGCTTCATCTGGCGGTATCTCTATTAATAACTATAGTATATAGACCATTTTATATGTGCACAATTACACCAGGACTCTTGATGGGTCCTTTGCTGATAATACCTATTTGTACATGAGATCTTCAGTATGTACTATTATTATTTTCTTATATAAAGCTTGTATTATTTCTATACTGGTGTGCATCTATGTACTTATGATTAATGTTATATTCTCGCTGCAGTAGCTCCTCTGCTCCCAATTACTTTGACTAGATTGCTGGTTAATTTCCCAGGAAAGGAATCCAATCTGCTCCCAAAGGCCCCGTCCTGGGTGGAGACATTGCCAACTTTATTATCAGACCCACTCTTCCACTTAGCAAAGTTTCGGGTTCTCTTATTTTCCTACAGTTTTAGAGCTATAGCCTGTTTGGCAAATCCATTTGTTATAATGCTCCTTCCCTCCACACTGGAGAAAGAAAGAAATATTTGAAAGTGACCTAGGAAAGATCTCTTAGCCCTCAGGCGTTGCCCGGAGTGTGTGTTGCTGTGTGCTCCTGTCTGTCGAGGTCCTACCTTTCCCCAGAGGTCATGCTGCTCCACGTGCTGGCATCCATCTTAGGTTTCTGCAAAGCATGGTGGGAGCCTTTTATGCCTTCAGACCTCTGCGGTCCATCCCCCAGAGGGGTGTGGCTGATCACATTTAAGCCTGTTGTCTGCACTTGCTCTTCACATTCCTGTCTTGTATGTTTGTGTTGCAGCGTTATCCCTTTATCTGACCCTCCATTGCTGAACCCAGCTTGTGACCTGTATATTCTTGTCTACCATTCTGTACTGTCTGTCCCGCTGTAATCGACCCGATCTGCCCGACTACGCTACTGTCTTATCTGGTTCCTACCAGCTGTTCACCATTGGCGGCGGCCATTACCACCACAGCTGGGATGACTCAGGGGCCGCGACCTGGTCCCTGGCTGCGTCAAGTCCATCCCCACCATCAGGGGCCCTGGTGAAGGGCAGCCTGGGGCTTAGACTCCGTGCCCTGAGGCATTCCGGTCTGTGGGCGGTGGTTGTCGCCAGTCGGTGCGTGACCCTGCCATTAGGCCTGCCTGTCCATTCCACAGCTCCTGCCCTGACACTGTCTTCCCAGGCTTGTTGCCTGGGAAGGATGTGTTGTTCTAGAGAGAGATAGACCCGAGCCTCGGGCCTGAAGCTTCCTCTTCGCCTGCTGGAGGGTATATCCAGGGCGAATGGAACAGGAATATGGTTATCTGTATTGGAGCGCCAAGACTGAAGAGTCTACAGTTGAAGTGTGTCCTGGAGAGATGCATAGACGTTACTGTGGGTGGACATTTCAAGAAGGTCTGGTGGCTCATCTAAGGGTTATGTGCGCTGGATTGAAGTTTCTCTACAGTTTGAATAGTACAAAATGCCAGTCTGGCATAAAGGTCCTTTTTCTCTGTTGACTGTGTGTGGAGTTACTGAGTATGCATTTTTAATCTTTTCGGTTATCCTGTGCCCTAAAACTCCTTACCTGAGTATATTGGTCTTATTACAAACTTCCTAAAATGACTGGTGCCCAGTTTCTTCCACCCCACAAAGAGGCAAGGATTCAGCCCTGAGCTGACCACCAAGTAATCTGTGGGCCCCGATAGATAGATAGATAGATAGATAGATAGATAGATAGATAGATAGATAGATCAGGATAAATTAAGAAAGGTACAGCAGACAAATAAAGAGTGAAAGCCAAGATTGGCAGAAGTCAACAGATTGGAATGGTGTTCACCTCCCTGTTGTTGACTATACACTCAAATGTAAGTGCATTATATTAAAATAACGTTTGGCCAAGATATAAGCTAACATTATTTGTCATTGTACAGACAAACAGAAAAAGAGGTAGAGAGAGGTAGGCAGATAAAAAGAAAGTGAAAGGGCGCATGCACGGTGGTACAAGATGGTGGACGCCTAAGAATGGAGCTCTGCCGATCCTCAGACATAATGGCCCTCCTGCTCCACTCCTATTACCTCTGTAGCTCCAGGAAAGCCCTCTCCTAGATAAAGACACACTCTAGCGTCCCCCATGGGAAAAAATTGGGTGCTGGAAGCCACCCATGCTCTTCCTCCAGACCCCTGGTCTTTGGTGCTGGACCGCTTCTTCACTAGGCCTGCATCTCCAGCCTCGAGTAGCGGCAGCAGCCCCAGTGAGTGCTCCAGGAGATCCACTGAGATGGAATGGACAGACGCACACCCCCCTGCAGCTTCAAACCCCTCGCCAGTGACCCCTTCTTTGATGGTGGACACCTTGGAAGACAAACTGCAAGTATTTTTACGCAACATTACCTCTAAGTTGAGAAATTGGCTCAGGAGCTTAGGGGGGAGATTACTCAAATAGGAGACTGCACAGACCAGCTTGAGACTAAATTTGAACTGGTACAATATGTCCACATTCTGGAGGAAGATAATGCTAACCTGAAACACTCAAATGCAGCTTCAACAGGAGAATATAGAAAACAGGGAGCGTTGCCAGAATATTTGTAATCGCGGCATATCTGACACAGTCTCTGACTCCCAACTCCAACGCCACCTGCTGTCTCTATTCACCACTCTAGCTCCTAAGGTCCCAGAGGTTGATTGGCGAATGGATTGGGCTCATAGTTCATTAGGTCCAAAACCCTCCGAAGGCACCAGGCCTAGAGGTGTAATAGTACGTTTTCATTACTTTTACAGTAAAGAAGCTCTGCTCTCTTCTACTCGCAATAAGCCCTCTTAGGAATTCATGGGAGACAGGCTCAAACTTTTCAGTGATTTATCTACCATCACCTTGGCCGAAAGACGGGTCCTGAAGCAGGTCACTATTCATCTACAACAGCATCATGTTCCATACTGGTGGGGATTTCCCTTCAAGCTCGTTGTCTCCAAGATTAACACCCAAGTTACACTCCATGAACTACATGAAACGGACTCCTTCTTCAAGCAGCTGGCGCTCCCTCCCCTGACAGACGAGGCACCTCCGCTACCTCCAACCCCATTCAGGTCCTACACCACTCCACGTAAGATCTGGACACCCGCCAAACCTGGAAGGAAGCGATTCCCTCATACTCCTCAATGTCCAAGACATTGATGAGCTCTGCCACCTGCCACTCTCATTTGACAGGTCACCTGCCTTGCTAATTGGGCTCCTTTTTCCTCATATGTGCCTGAACATTGTTTGCATGGCTATGTCTTGACTATAACCATTTTGTATTTTGCTGAGGTAGGCATCTGCCAAAATGTGCCAGCTGCCATGTCACCCCCTGGAACGTCAGGCCTTAGTCCCTGACGACTCGGGATATTCCCAATGTCCCGGGTGTATATCTTTGTTGATATCTTTGTTTCTAGCCATGATCCTTATGGCCTTTGTTTTGAGTGATCCATTTACATGCAGTACGCTCCTTGCCTTGATAATTACCTGATTCTCTTTCCCTGTTGTTTTCTGTTTTGCCTCATTGATGATAATTTTCTTGCATACTCAGGTTACACAGCTGATATACCCATTGTTTCATGACAACTTTAAGGCTGTTGTCATATAATGTCAAAGGTCTTAAAAATGTTGCCTTGTTCTGAAGGAGTTCAGATCCTCGGGAGCAGATATTATATATATTCAGGAAACTCACTTCAAACAGGATGGCTCTTTTTGTTTCGCCTATAAGAACTTTCCACAGTCCTATTCAGCTTTTGACCCCTCTGGGAAAGCCGAAGTGGCTATTTTGATTCAAAAAATTGCTCCCTGTTGGTCTCCTCCTCCAGGGTTGACCCACTGGGTTAATATCAGGGGCGGACTGACCATTTGGAAACTCGGGCACTGCCCGAGGGCCCGGGGTCAGAAGGAGGCCCCATGAGATGCCCCTGGTACCTTTTTCATAGGCTTTTTTGAGTTTGGGCAAGGACACAGGGGCCCCATGATCCCCTATTGCCCGGGGGCCCCATGAGTTGTCAGACCGCCCCTGGTCACTATGTTTTATTGGAATGTATGTATGAGGGTTCCTAACTTGTACTTTTGAACTTGTATGCATCTATCTCTGGTCAGCTGATATTTCTCTCTCAAACGCTATATAAATTATACTCATTATCCAACCCATTTATGATTGTCGGAGGAGATTTTAATTTGATTATGTCACCTCACAAGGATAGGAAGGTTCTCTTTGCATCTACTCTGTCGAAAAGGCAATGCTCCTCTTCGAAAGCTTTCCGTAAACTGATACGGGAACATCGCCTTTTTGACGCCTGGCAGGTTAGGCATCCTCTCCATAGACATCCTCTCACATTTTATTCTACTCTGTATTTTTTTTGTCACCGCTCCCCTGCTCCCCTTTTTGGTCTCCTCCGAGATCAATCCTATAACTTGCTCAGATCATGCTTCACTATCGCTTAATCTCCTTTTCCCTAACTCCCCCCTAAGGTTTGTCACTGGTGCCTCAATGAGAGTTTTCTGCATTCGAGAGGAAATCTCTCAGGTGCTGGACGCATATTTTAAATGCAATGTTGATTCAGTTGCCTCATCTTCAACCCTATGGGAAGCTCACAAGGCTGTCTTTAGAGGCCTTTGTATCTCTATGGGCACTCATTTGAAGAAGGCCTCGGTTAGTACCAGACAATCTCCTTTAAGCCAACTGTCTTTAGCCGAAAGACAAATGCTAGACAAACAATCCATATCTCGGCTTCGGAAAGTATCCCACTTACGCGACCAAATCAGAGCTCTTGACCTACACATAAAGTAACTACCCAGTCCCTTGTTTGGGCTAGGCAGAAATTCTACAAATTATCTAACAAACCGCACCGCATGTTTGTAAATAGACTCAAATCTCAGACATCTCCCTCGCTGCCAGATCACCTACTTCCGTCGGATGGCAAACCCACATACCATCCGCATGTATTGGCTACTGTTTTTGGGGAATATTATGAGAAGCTCTATAATTGCCTATAAGAGTGAAACCCCTGTGCTACCTCAATAATGAGAGAGAGGAAAAAAAAAACAAAAAAACAACAAAAACGCACACAAGCAGAAAGGAAAATAAAAAAAGTGTAATGATAGTGGCTGCTGCTAACATCAAATTGTGTTCCCACAATAGTAAAGCAAATTAAAAATAAATAAGTGATGTAGAGCTGTTAAATAATAGCTACAAAAAATAAAAGAGTGACATAGCTGAATAAAACATCCATAATGAGTCCATATATGTAAAATCAATCAATTTGTAATAAAGATTCTTCCATAATTCATGTGTTTTCTTCTTGTGCTGATATCCCAACCACCATCAAGTGAAACAGTGCACATAACATATAGTGCCACCTCACTGCTCACAGAACTCTGACTTCAGAGCACATGGAAATGCACTTTATAATATCAAATAGGCAAAAGGAATCTTCACTTTTTTCAAACCACAGCCATGTGATAGTAATAAAACACCTTTGAGCTTTCAATAGATTGTCAAGCCGGAGCCAGGGATCGATCCTTTTAAAGTGCATTTCCATGTGCTCTGAGGTGAGAGTTCTGTGGCACTATATGTTATGTGCACTATTTTACTTAATGTCAGCACAAGAAGAAAACAAATGAATTATGGAAGATCTTTATTACAAATGGATTGATTTTACATATATGGACTCATTATGGACGTTTTATTCACCTATGTCACTCTATGTGTAGCTATTATTTAGCAGCGCTACATCACTTAATTTTTATCTATAATTGCTTAGCCCCCGATGTCCACTCTCCCCCTCCAGAAGGCAGCTTTTGTCACTTTCTTTAACCCCTTACGGCAATCAGGTTTGTCACCTTCCCGATGTACTGGCTCTAAACGAGGACATCTCCTCTGAGGAACTACTAGATGTTGTCAAATGTCTCCCTATACACAAATCTCCGGGACCGGACAGTCATCTTTACTCATATTACGAGACCTTTATTGGCACCCTGGCCCCCCATCTTCTGTCCTTGTTCCAGAATCTCCTGAAAGGTTTGCTTCTGCATGATGATTTTACACTCGCATACATCTCGGTGATTCCCAAACCAGACATGGACCACTTCCTCCTGGATAACTATCACCCTATATCTTTATTAAACTCTGATTACAAGATATTCACGAAAATAATTGGCTAAGTGTATATCCACACAGGTTGGCCAAGTGTATATCCGAGCTTATACACAGAGACCAGGTGGGTTTTGTACCCAGACATGCCGCGGATAACACTGGGAGGACTATTGATTTTATCAATCTTGGTAATACGTCCTCGACTCCTGCTCTCTTATTGAGCTTGGGTGCCAAAAAAGCATTTGACCGACTTAGCTGGCCTTATGTTTCTGGTCCTGGAGAGATTTGGGTTTAGCGGCCCATTTATAGCAGCCCTGAAAGCTCTATACTCCACCCCCACCTCCCAGGTCAAACTGGCGTCATTCCGGTCACTATCCTTCCAGATGTCAAATGGTATATACAGGGATACCCACTTTCCCCTCTGCTGTTTATCCTCTGTTTGGAATCCCTGGCCATAGCCATTAGATGCAATGATGCTGACGTAGCCTCACACTTCCTTACCTGTTTTGTATCGTACTTTACAGCTCTTTAGTGCCTTGTTGGGATATAAAGTTAATGTGTCTAAAACTGAAGCAGTTCCGCTCCATATCCCTCCATATCTCACCTACAGTCCTATCTTCCCTTCAGTTAAATTATCCTTACCAGTGGTGCCCCCATTCCCTGAAATATTTAGGTACCAACCTTACTTCCTCATACCACTTCATTTATGTGGCTAACTTCCCCCCTCTGTTTCATACAATTTCCCAATCCTTAAAATCCTGGGACACCCATCCAATTTCTTTCCTTGGACGGAACAATCTACTAAAAATTATCATATTGCCCAAACTTTTGTATCTGTTTGAGACACTCCTGTTCCTATTTCCATGCCCAAATTGCGCTCTCTTCAGAAGTCTTTCCTCCACTTCATCTGGCATAATAAATTGCACTGGATTGCCCATACTGTCCTTCTTTCTCCTCGATCTAGGGGGAAGTCTGGGGGCCCCAGACATTGTGACATATTATTTAGCTACCCATCTCCGGGCTCTTGCCTCATGGTCCTCCCAGCGCCCCCCTAATAAATGGACTGAGATTGAATTGCTACAATTCAGTCCGACGCACCCTTGTTCTCTCCTCTGGTCTATGACCAACACTGACATCTCCTCTTACAAATGTCTCCTGCTTGGACCCATTCAGTTCACGTTATCTATATGGAGACGTTGTAGGGTTAGATTCGACTAGCCTCCATGTGTTCCCCCTTGACCAATGTCATATTCAATCCATGCCTCCCAGATAGCCTGGCCATGGCTTGTGTACGTCTGTGGACCGAGGCCAACTTATTCCAGCCGTGACACTTGGTCAATCCATTGACTCACAAACTTAAATCCTTCCCTGATATTCAAAAAGCCTCCGTATGCCACCCCACCAACATTTTGTTTATCTACAGATGTGTTATATTTTTTTCCTCCAAAACCTCTTCTCTGATTCTTGAGAAACCTATCTGCATCCAAGGCCCATACCAACGGGGCATAATTTCCTCCACGTATAAGCTGCTTTTAGATGCCTGCCCCTTTTCTATCGATATCCACCTCTATATGCGCAAATGGCCCCGATTCCTCCAATGTGTCATTGCCTTAGATCAATGGAGTAGGATTTGGGAGGCCGCCTCTAGATCTTCTATATGTGTAGTATATAATAAAAATACCTATAAAATCCTGATGTTTTTGTATAGGACTCCTGAGGTTCTCCATGCTCGTAACCCAAATGTTTCTTCTGTCTGCTGGCATTGTGGCAAGGAAACTGGCACTCTTTTCCACATATTTTGGGCTTGCCAGTATATTGCACCCTTTTGGAGAGAGGTCCTTGCCCTACTACTGCTGCTTTTGCAGGCTCCTATCCCATTTGAGCCCATTCACTTTTTGTTGGGCCTACCTTTTTCAGGCCTCTCCAAGTTTGCAAGGAAACTTTCCTCTCATGTTTTAACGGCAGCTAGGAGAACCATTCCCATGCATTGCCTTTCTTCTACGCCCCCTACGCTATTGGAATTGATGAAGGTTATAGCAGAGATTAGAAAAATGGAGTACCTAACTGCTTTACTCGCTAATTCTGTTCCTGCATTATGGGATACTAATACATCTGACTCGTCTGCTCAAATTGTCTGAAATTGATTGCCATTTCACTGTTCTGTTTTGATATTGTATGTACCTAGGTTCCTCTCAATGAGCCTGTTTTTTTCTGTTTTTTCTTTTTCCCTTCTACTGCTTTGTGTTTGCCCATGCAACCTGTTTGTTGTAAATGTTTGAAAAATAATAAAAAGTTAATTACAAAAAAAAATAGAAAGTGAAAAATAGATAGATAGATAGAAAAATAGATAGATAGATAGATAGATAGATAGATAGATAGACAGATAGATAGATAGATAGATAGATAGAGGCAGTCCCCGAGTTATGAAAAATATAGGTTCAGTTGGAACCTATATTATAAGTTGGAGCATGTACATTTTTGAAGTGTAATTCCAGCCCAAAAAATATTTTTAAGTTATGGATAGCATAGGGAAGTGTTAACTGGCCATGCAGTGATGTGGGTTTATTAACAGGTCCACCGGACAGCACGTGGCAGCATGCAGTGAGCAGCAAGATGGTGGCTTCCGGGACCAGCGTAATGTTGCCTCTGTTCTTTAAATATGGGTCGTATGTAAGTAGGATGTTTTTAAATTGGGGACTGCCTGTAGATAGACAGGCAGATGGATACGTTATAGCGTCATTAAGCATTCAAAGTACATGCAGTACTTCTGGTTCTTTCAGGTCTGGTACAGTATGAGTAATTTATTACAGACATAAATTCTATCTAATCAATGAATCAAGCTTATCTTAGGGCCCTTCTTCTTTTCTTCCCTGTTAATGTAAAGGGCACAAGGGAAAGATGTGAACAGACTTTATTCAGCATTAATAATTCACTGTAGACCCTTT